CAAATCCTTTTTTTTGGCAGAAGAAATATTGATGTGGGATTGAAGATAAATAGAGGAGGTTTGGAAGGTAAGCTTAGAACAGTGTTTTCCTTTATCTTCAGGAGATTTATTGCCTCTATTTCCTCCTCTTCTTCACCTGTTAAGCAGCTACAATGGTCTAATCCAGTTCATGAATTTCACATACAATCCTACCCTCCTTTTCTCTCTGTCAAAAGCCTGGTCTTTTTCCAGGATTCTTCTCACAATTCTTTTTTTTTAAAAAATTGTTTAATTTTATAAAGTAGTTCACAATATTTCATTACATTTAATATTCAACATTAGTCCCCTCACCATTACACTTTCCCACCACCATGTTTCAGATGTTTCCATCCTGAACCCCAAACCCTGCCCCAAAGCAGAACCGAAATAATATATTTTGTATTGTTTGTTATGAAAACCCACTGAAAATGCTACAAAAAAGTTTCCTTAGAGGAAAGGGTGTGAAGATTTTTGTATTTCAACAAGAGGTCATTTAAGCTCTTCTAAAGAGATCACTAACTTGTTGATAAAGGTTGAGTCTTGTGTGCTTATGCATATATATATATCTTGGGGTATGGGTAGAATGTGTGGTATGAAGTGTCATGATGCAGCTGCACGGTCCAGGAATAGGTTCACCCGTGGATGAGGCTCGGCCCGAGCATGTGGAAAGCGGCCGTAAGCATGGTGGTGGTTGAGTTCTGGAGGCTGTCCCTTGGGGTGGAGAGAGGTCTCACCTGCCCCCCCTCCGGGGAACCCCGAATAAAACAGCCTGGTGTGCGGTCCAGCGGCATGGTTCTGGCGAGTGTCATGTTATGCTCCCTCCCGGGAGAGAAGGACATGGGACTCTGGATAGTGCTCAAAATTCTTTTAAAAAGTTGTTTTTATTTTATTGTTTGGTTTTTGGACCACACACAGCGATACTCAGGGCTTATTCATGACTCTGAGCTCAAAATTACTCTCAGCAGTGCTCAGTGAACCATATTGGATGCTGGAGATAGAACCCAGGTTGGCTGTATACAAGGCAAAGGCCCTTCCCATCGTAATATCACCACAACTGCTGAAAAGTCTTTCAACCTGTCGTCACAGGTGAACTCCATTTGCCTCTATGGACCCATGCCTTTCATCTCACCCTTCAGGTTGCCCCTCATTATCTCAAGGGGCATGTTTTCAAACATGTTATGTGACTCTATTTATTCCCATGCACAGGCTGCCACCTGGAGTCCAGGGACCAAGTCTTCTTAGCATTGGGTGTATTCCCAAGCATCACACATTCCTCTTCACAAAGAATGCCAGTGACTGACACGCTATAGAGAGGGTTTACACTGTCTGGGGCAGAAAAATGTATCTGCTAATTTTCATCAACATTCCTAATTGACCTGGCCATCAAAGCCTGTTACATATCTTCCTTTGTTTTTTATTGAGGAACTCAGGCTACAGTTCCTGGGCCTGTCAGCTGGCACAGTGCCTCCCATTGTGCTTGCTTCACACAGATGTGAGGCACAGATATTTAGGACAGGGGAAGCATGCTGCCTGCTCTAAATCGCAGGAGCTCATCTTTAGTTGGACCCTGGAGTGTTGGTAGGGCTACAAGTTCCCTATCCACTACCCAGCCTGAAGTCTTTGAGGTGAACAGGTGATTCTGATGTGACAAATACTCTCAGAACAGCTCTATTCCTTCACAATAATTAACCAGCAACACTAATACCACTATATAAGCAAATAGATATAAACAAGAAAAAAATTTTATTAAAGTAAAAATAATAGTTTTCTCCAGAAACATGCTAGAATGAATAGAATGAAAGACTGGAGAGACAGTGCGGTGAGTAGGGAGCTTGCCTTGCACACAGCCAAATTTGGTTTTATCTTCAGCATCCCGTAGGGTTCTCTGAGCACTGCCAGGAGTGATTCCTGAATACAAGCCAGGATTAAACCCTGAGCACAACCAGATATGGCCTCAAAACAAAAACAAAAACAAAACAAAAAAATCAGTGCAAACTTAATATTTGACAGATAATGAGTACATAAAATGAAGTGATAATAAAAACAGATGAGAATGTTTCTTAAAGCTGGATGTACACACTGAGGGCATTCATTTATGCTTCCTTCCCCAGGTAGGGCTGATTCTTCTGGATCCACCCTCTTTCCTGACTCCCTGGGCAAACAAATAGGACCTGTTTACTCTGTTAAGGGGAGTCATTTTCAGAAAAGCTATAAAAATTTTCTAAAAACATATTGTCAACTCATCCTGTCCGTGTCCCATGAGAACACCATCCACCAAGGAACAATAACTTACACGAGTGTGCTTTGACTCCTGTCATCTGACAATTCCAGATTTAGAAAACCTGCCTACTTCACTTATTTTTGTCCAGTAGAGTTGTGACAATTCCTGTCTAGTAGGAAAAAAAGTAGTCCCAAAGTAGTTATGTCTTATTCCCATGTGGGACATAAACAACTTTTTCTTTCAACAAAATTTATTATTGTTGCTATTATTATTGCTGCTGTTATAGATTAGGCAGTATCTTTACAATTATGCAGTGCTTATTTTTTTGTTTGGGGGGGTCACACCCAGCTGTGCTGAGGGCGTAATCTTGGCTCTATATTTAGAAATCACCCCTGGTAGCTCAGGCGACTATATGTGGTGTCAGGGATTAAAGTCGGGTCAGCTGTGTACAAGACAAGCATCCTAGCCACTGTACCACTCCAGCCCTAATGATTATGGTTTTCACATGCAGTTAACATACCCACAATGCCAAAACGCCCAATAACCTCCATCAATGTTTTTATGTCAGATTTAGCCCTGATAATTTCAGTTTTATAATCCAAGGCTTGGGTTTCTCTGTTGAATATTGTTTATTTCCTTATTTTTGCCCCAAGATTAATTTTGTTAAAGCACCATGAGTTACAAAGTGATTCATAGCTGGGTTTTTCACATACAATGTTCCATCACCAATCCCCCACCAGTGTAAACTTCCTTCCACCAGCATTCCCAAACTCCCTCTCCTACCCTCCTATCTCCACCCCAGCCCCAGTCTGTCATCTTGGTCAGAAGCTTTTAAATCTAGATACTAAAATCTGGGCCTTGAGATTTCAGTGTTGTTGACTCTGTGGTTTGGATATTTCACCCTATCATTCCTGGACACCACTCCTTTATCTAAGTCCCATTAACCCCTAACCCCATTGCTTCTCATCTCTCTCGTCTCCCCTTCTCCTTCACTCTATTTCTTCCCTTCTCCCTAAACTCTGGGGCTTATGATGATCTAGGCTCACCCCTTAAATTCCACAGAGGAGTTAAATTCCTTTAATTTCTTAAATTCCTTCCTTTATTTTCTGTGTAAAACTTTTATTCATACTAATGTTTAGAGTACAGGGAAGAAAAAAGAATGAAAGAAAGAAAGAAAGAAAGAAAGAAAGAAAGAAAGGAAGGAAGGAAGGAAAAGAAAGAAGAAAGAGAGTGCTGGAGGGAGTGTGGGGGGGGCGCCTTAGGATCCGTAGGTGCAGGGAAGGATCGACCAAATGAACACAAGACACAAGAGACAGAATGCAGTTCAGAAACAGAGAGAAAAAGAGACAGACTTTATTGGGGGCAATCAGGGTATATATCCATTAATGAGGCAGCTACACAAAAGGTCGTGCCCATATATGGTTAGGAAGGTTTGTTTTCACATCTCACGCATAAAGTTTATGCATATCTTGTACCAGACACGAGGTAGTTACACAAAGGGCCGTGTCCATATGATTTATAAAATTTATATGCATCACATACCAGACACGAGACAGTTACTTCTTGTTATTACTGACAGCCATGACAGATGTTCTCTCAGGATAACCATACATCAAGATAACCATACATAGCACTGGCTTTGCCTGTTGCAGGGTCACGTAGGTCAAGACGACCATACATAGCACAGGCTGTGTCGTAGGTCAAGATGACCATACGTAGCACAGGCACTTAGGCCTTGGTCAGTTAAAGGGCCAGCTTCCCACAGGGAGGAAGTGAGGGAGGGAGGGAGGAAGAAAGTCAGAAAGAGAGAAAGAATGAAGTAAGGAAAGGGGAAAAAAAAGATCTCAACTCCAAAGCAACAAGTAAATTAGGGCCTACCCATTGCTGAGGGAACATAGCTCCAGGCTACCCTGGGAGAAACTGTCCCCAACTATTTCACATCAGTGTCATGAGGCAGGAAACATGGAATCAGGATGTGAATACCTTCCTAGCTGCTAGTGAGTGTGCCAGTGATGTCGTTGGGCCCCACGGTGGCTTATGTGAAGTGGGGAGGAGAAAGATGGTCACTTTTTCCCCCATCCGCCTCTGCCACCCGGGACCCAGGATTACAGGGTTCTTGTCTCAGCTTGCAGAAAAGAATTTCAGGCCCAGGTCAGTCATTATTCGAATCCAGGACTTAGTTTTCCCACATACGCGCCTCAGGTGTCCTCTAGAACTCTGGGCCACCCACCATCCGGGAGCCTCTTCCTGTTCCTCCAGAAAGCTGTGTGCGGTTTTCTTCTCCCAGGTTCTACATACAAGGTACGTGTAGGGGGCGTGGCCTCTGCAGAAGTGGGCGTGTCCTAATTTTGGGCCAGCGGTGGCTCAGTCACCCACAGGTAAATTACTCATACTCAACAATCTCATGTAACATCTCAGTCTTCATACGACCACACCAACATGAAGAAACAATGCAAATCCCCACCACGAGGAGAGGGCGATGAAAAGATTTCAGAAGCTTCATTAGGTGTTACTCACTTAAGGGAGTTCTCTGAGAAATAATTCAGATATGAAGTAATGAAGATGTTCAATGAACTTAATGAAACAGTGAGACAGATATCCAGTAAATTAAAGGAGGATATAAAAGAAACAATCGAGAAAGTACAGAAAGAAATGAGAGCAGAAATTGGAAAGCTACGCACAGAAATGTCATGAATAAAAGAATCGGTAGATGAAATAAAACTCAGTGTGTGCCCTCAACAGTAGAATGGCACAGCTGAAACAGAATCTGTGAACTGAAAGATGAGCTGCACAAAGCCTACAGGCAACAACAAACAATGGCAAGAGACCTCAAAATAGCTCTAGAGCAAATCAGAGTAATAGGGGATGATTCCAAGAGGAACAACAATAGAATCAGTGGAGTACCAGAAGGTCAGGGAAACAGTCCCAATGAAAAACCCACGGTTAAACAAATCATTGCTGAAAAGTTCCCAGAGCTGGACAATGCAGGCATCCAGATTCAAGGAGCCTGAAGGGTGCCAACTAAAAGAAACCCTAACAAAAACACTCCGAGACATATCACAGTTAGAATGATAGATACCACAAATAGAGACACAATACTGCAAGCAGGAAGGTCAAACAAGGAAATCACAAACAAAGGAGCACCCCTTAGATTCACAGCAGATCTATCAGAGGAAATCCTCCAAGCCCAAAGGCAATGGTGGGATATAGTGAAAAAACTCACTGGAATGAACGCTTCACCAATAAAGAATACTTTATCCAGCTAAACTCTTACTCAAACTCAAAGGAATGGTACACTATTTTCTGGATAAACAACCTCTCAGAAACTTCATAGACTCAAAAACAAACCTAAAAGAAGGGCAAAAGGGGCTGTAAGACAAAACAACCCCCTAGAAGCACAACAAACCCTTACAGAAAGATGACACAAAACCCCATAACAATAATCTCTCTCAATGTCAATGGTCTAAATTCACCAATTAAGAGACAGAGTGACAAAATGGATTCAGAGACAGAACCCAACATTCTGCTGCCTACAAGAAACACATCTGAACAATCAGAACAAACACAGATTCAAAGTCAAAGGATGGAAAAAAACTCTGCAAGCAAACAAACCCCTCAAAAAGCTGAAGTGGCCTTATTAGTATTGGACAACATAGATTTCAGGTTGAAAAAGATTAGAAGGGGACAGTGAAGGCCATTCTATATTAATCAAGGGACATGTACAGCAGGAAGAAATCACACTCCTAAACATATACGCACCTAATGAGGGACCGTCCAAATACTTACAACAACTGCTAACAGACCTTAAGAAGGACATTACAAGCAACACAATAGTAGTTGGAGACTTCAACACCACATTATCACCCCTAGATAGATCAAGAAGATTAAAACTCAGCGAGAAAATATTGGCTCTGAAGGAAGAAATAGAAGACAGAGGGCTAATAGATCTATACAGGACTTTATATCCCCCCCAAAAAAGAATACACATTCTTTTCCAGTACAGATGGAACATTTTCCAGGATAGACCATGTGCTGGTCCACAAAGCATACCTCAACAGAATTAGGAAGATTGATACTGTATCATCTTCTTAGACCACAATGCACTGAAGATAGAAGTTAATCATGATCAGATGCAGAAAACCAAATCAAACACCTGGAAATTAAACAACTCAATGTTGAACAATGAGTAGTTCAGAAAAGAAATCAAGGAAGAAATCAAAAGATATCTGGAAACAAATGAGAATGAAGACACGAGCTATCAGAACCTATGGAACGCAGCTAAAGCTAAGGGGAAAATTTATAGCTCTGCAAGCATTTCTCAGGAAGGAAGAAACACCCCACATAAACAACTTGACTTCACAGCTCAAGATCTTAGAAAAGGACCAACAAAAAGAGCCCAAATCAGGCAGAAGGAAAGAGATCATAAAACTTAGAGCAGAAATCAATGACATGGAAACCCATAAAACAATCTGAAAGATCAGTGAAACCAAGAGCTGGTTCTTCGAGAAAATAAACAAGATAGATAAACCACTAGCAAGACTCACAAAGAGAGAGAACCCTAATAAAACGAATCAGAAATGAGAAGGGAGATAACACAACAGAAACCAAAGAAATTCAAAAGATCATCAGAGACTACTTTGAAAGTCTGTATGCCACAAAAGAAATGAACCTAGAAGAAATGGATGAGTTCCTGGATTCCTATAATCTCCCAAGGCTGACTCAAGATGATCTATAATACCTGAATAGTCCTGTTAATATCAAGGAAATTGAAACTAATCAAAAGTCTTCCCAAAAACAAAAGCCCAGATCCAGATGGATTCACTAGCGAATTTTTCCAAACATTTAAAGAGGACCTATTGCCAGTTCTTCTCAAGCTTTTCCAGGAAATTGAAGAAACAGAAACTCTCCCAAACAGTTTCTATGAAGCTCATATCTCTCTAGTACCAAAAGGAAACAAAGACACCACAAGAAAAGAAACATTATCAAAATGGCAATACTCCCCAAAGCATTGTACAAATTCATTGCGATTCCTATAAAGATACCCATGACATTCTTTGAAGAAATGGAACAAACACTCCTGAAATTCATATGGAACAACAAGCACCCACGAATAACTAAAGCAATTCTTGGGAAAAAGAAAATGGGAGGAATCAACCTCCCCAACCTCAAGCTCTACTACAAAGCAGTAATTAAAACAGCATGGTACTGGAACAAATGCAGAGCCTCAGACCAATGTAACAGGGTTGAATATATTGACATCTCCCTCCAAACATGTGATTATCTAATCTTTGATAAGGGAGCAAGAAATGTGAAGTGGAGCAAGGAAATCCTCTTTAACAAATTGTGCTAGCAAAACTGGACAGCTACATGCAAAAAATTGGGCTCAGATCTCTACCTAACACCATGTACAAAAGTAAGATCAAAATGGATTAAAGACCTCAACATCAGACCGGAATCCATAAGGTACATTGAAGACAAGGTTGGCAAAACCCTCCACGACATTGAAGCTAATGGTATCTTCAAAGATGCCACGCCACTGGCCAAGCAAGTGAAAACAGAGATAGACAAATGGGACTATCTTTAAGAAGCTTCTACACCTCAAAAGAAACAGTGACTAAAATACAAAGACAGTCTACAGAAAGGGAAAGGATATTCGCCCAATACCCATCGGATATGAGTTGATATCAAGGACATACAAAGCATTGGTTGAACTCCACAAGAGGAAAACATCTAACCCCATCAAAAATGGAGTGATGAAATGAACAGAAAATTTCTCAAAGAAGAAATCTGAATGGCTAAAAGGCACATGAGAAAATGATCTACATCACTGATCACCAGGGAGATGCAGATCAAAACAACAATGAGATATCATCTCACACCACAGAGATTAGTCCACATCCAAAAGATCAAAAGCAACCAGTGTTGGCAGAGATGTGGTGAGAAAGGGACCCTCCTTCACTGCTGGTGGGAATGCCGACTGGTTCAGTTCTTTTGGAAAACAGTATGGATGATTCTCAAAAAATTAGAAATTGAGCTCCCATTTGACCCAGCAATACCACTTCTGGGAATATATCCCGGAGAGGCAAAAAAGTACAGTCAAAATGACATCTGCACTTCTATGTTCATTGCTGCACTGTTCATAATGGCCAAAATTGGACAAAAACCCGAGTACCTGAGAACAGATGACTGGTTAAAGAAACTTTGGTAATCTACACAATGGAATACTATGCAGGTGTTAGAAAAGATGAAGACATGAAATTTACATACAAGTGGTTCTACATGGAAAGTATCATGCTAAGTGAAATGAGCCAGAAAGAGCGGGACAGACATAGACTGCACTTATCTGGGGAATATAAAGCAACAGAATGGGAGTTAAACACCAAAGAATAGTTATAAGTACCAGGAGGTCGGCTCCAGGGCTTGGAAGCTGGCAGCACAGGCTAGGGGAAAAGGCAGCTCAGATAGAGAAGAGAATACAAAGTAAAGGATGTTTGGAGAATTTGCTCTGGATGCGAGATGCATGCTGAAAGTAGACTATAAACAGAACATAATGGTCACTCAATAACTATTGCAAACTACAGGACCCTGAAGGAAAGAGTGAACAAAAGGGAATGCTCTGCCACAGAGGCAGGGTTGGGTGGGGGGATGTGGGGGTGGGAGGGCTACTAAGATCATTAGTGGTGCAGAATGGGCATTGGTGGAGGGATGGGTGCTCTATAATTGTATAACTGAAACCCAAGCGCGAAAGTTTGTAAGTCTACAACTGTACCTCATGATGTTACACTAATAAGACTGTAGCACTGTCCTCCTATTGTTCATCGATTTGCTCGAGCGGGCACCAGTAACGTCTCCATTGTGAGACTTGTTGTTACTGTTTTTGGCATATCAAATACACCACGGGGAGCTTACCAGGCTCTTCCATGTGGGTAGTATAATCTTGGTAGCTTGCCGGGCTCTCCAAGAGGGATCGAGGAATTGAACTCGGGTTTGCCGCATGCAAGGCACAGTACAGTTTTAAGTTGAGGAAGGTGATGTATCCCATCTTCTTTTTCCCAAGGATTGCTTTAGGTATTTGTGGAGGTTTATTGTTCCATATGAATTTCAGGAGTATTTTGTCTATTTCTTTGAAAAATGTCATGGGTATCCTAGAAGGACCACATTGAATTTGTATAAAACTTTGGGGAATATTGCCTTTTTGACAATGTTAATTCTCCCAATCCATGAACAGGGAATGTGTTTCCATTTCCTCATGTTCTCTTGTTTCTTGAAGTAATATTTTGTAGTTTTCTTTGTATAGGTCGTTTACCTCCTTATTTAAGCTGATTCTAAGGTACTTGATTTTCTGCGGCACAATTGTGAACAGGGTTGTTTTTTTTTTTATTATCACTTTCTTCTCTTTCAGTATTTGAATATAGGAAAATTGTGAACTTTGGGGTACTGATTTTGTAACCTGCCATTCTACTATACTCACCTAAAAAAATAAAATGAAAAAAAAAGAATTTCAGGAGTAGACAAGCAGTGAAGTAAAATAGATTTTATTTGGAGGTTTTGAAGGGGAGGAGGAAGAGAAAGTGAGAGAGAATGGAGAATAATGCGCTCAAGAGAGAACCAGGGCTTCTCCAAGGGTGGAGAGAGCCCCAACACATACCAGCATTAGACAGAAAATCATGAAAGTACACATCTCAAGAGGGGAGATTCAGCGGGCTGGAGCAATAGCATAGCAGGTAAGGCGTTTGCCTTGCATGAGGCCAACTCGGGTTCGATTCCCAGCACC